TAATTCATTCAAATTGAATTTCACTTATCTTCTCTATATCTTTCTCCCTTATAGCTTTGCTTCTTCCAATTCGGTTTGATTTTAAGATTCAGTGAAAACAAAAAAAATACTGACCTAAAATTCTATTCCTGGAGATACTTTTCCTTCGTTTTGTAGTGATGTTGAATTCAATATGTTAAGAAAAGAACAAGCAATCATCACTTCTTTGCATGGATTTGTAACATCTGTTTTCAGATGTGTCTGTATAATTTCTATATGAAGCTAAAGTTGTTGTCTTTTCTCTTCTTTTCCACAGGGCAGTGATTGAGAATCATTGAAGAAGGTGATCGTTGTTTCTCTCTTGCCATAACATTTCTGAAACTGGAAATACATTCTTAAACTCTAGAGAGTAAACAGAAGCTAGGAGAGGTCAAGAGCCTTGAAGTTGTCATGCCTTATTTTATTCAGAGGCTTTTCAATACTTGCAAATCATCTCTATCACCTAATGGACCTGTGTCTGAGGAGGCCTTAGACAAGGTTCGCACTGTGTTGGGTAGGACTACATTTTTTTCAAGTTTTTGTTCCCTTTCTTTTGTCTGCAATCTTGCTTGATCCATCATGTTCTTTAGGCACACTGTTTTGCTACTTGCTAGTGATGTCTGAATTGCAGTGTGCTTATTTCGTTAGGGGTAATGTTGTTCAGCAGTGAGTGATACTTTGTGATTTGTTTATTTCAGAGAAAATCAAGCCGTCTGATGTTGGTCTTGAACAGGAAGCTCAGTTGGTGCGTAACTGGCCTGGTCCTGGGAACGAGCGTAATGGGAACCATCATTCTCTTCCAGCTATTAAATACCTTCCTTTACATGAATGTGATAGCTTCTCGGTAAGAGATTGCTGTTAGTTCTTTACCTTTTGAGTATGCTTTAATCAATCTAGTCGAACTAGTGCATAACTCATGGCTATGGAATCTTGAGAAAATTTCGGATATGCATAGAAATTTATATCATAGTGTTTAGATAGTAAATGCCTTTGCTAGGCTTCTCATGTTGTAACCAGAACTACTAGTAATGATGAGGATTTAGAATTTATATCGCTAAACACCTAAGGAAACTCGTCTTTCACGCTGCCATTTGGTACGATTTCTTGCTTTTCTTGTCTGCTTACGCTTTGATCATTATTTTGTCAGATTGGAATTTTCTGCATGCCACCTTCGTCTATCATACCACTACATAATCATCCAGGCATGACAGTGTTAAGCAAGCTCGTTTACGGTTCAATGCAAGTGAAGTCGTATGATTGGGCTGAGCTTGATCCATCAGAGCTAGACGATCCATTACAAGGTAATAGTGACATGTAAACCGTCCAATGTAACATCCGTACTCTGCAACTAATTTCAGTAGCCTTTCTTTGAGTAATCTGTTATTCCCGTTTATTCATAGCAAGACCCGCAAAGCTGGTCAAGGATACTGAAATGACGGCCCCTTGCCCAGCAACCACACTATATCCAACAACTGGCGGAAACATCCATTGTTTCAAAGCCATTACGCATTGTGCAATCTTCGACATCTTATCTCCTCCATACTCTTCTACTCATGGCAGACATTGCAACTACTTCAGGAAATCCCCATTACGCGACTTACCTGGTAAAATAACACTTAACTTAACTAAATTTTTATGAAGTAGTCGCTTAAAAAGCCACTATATTTCTAAATGTCACTACTTTTGTAACACATGGGTTAAACCGATAGATTCTTGATTGGATAAGAGTCTAAACGCAGATATAATGGTATACAAGCATTAGATATATAGCTAAACAGATTTGGTTTACATTATTATTTGTTACTATGGCATTGTTGATGATGATGTGATCTGTGAAACCAGGTGAGATTGAAGTGATGAATGGAGAAGTGATCTCCAACGTAACATGGCTCGAAGAGTATCAACCTCCAGATAACTTTGTGATATGGAGAGTTCCGTACAGAGGTCCTGTGATTAGAAAATGAGATTATAAAAAGGGTTTAAGAGCATATAAGAAGAGGAGCATAAAGAGAAAGGAGCTTTGTCATCATATTCAGAGTTGATTTCAGAAAGGAGAATAATTTGTAAGCCATTCAGAGGCTTTGCTGCTTTGTGGTCAAGAGGTTCTTACATTTTTTGTGACCACATTGAGTTTTAGCCTATATATCACTATATGGTAATGTTTTACTACATACATTTTTACAATTACTTTAATATGATTATTTTTTGTCTACATAAACTAGTGCTCACAAGTCCCAACAATGTAAGATTTTGTTTTCATAAATTTTGATTTTCATTGATCCTTTGCCTTCCCTTATTTCATGTCTATATAACTAAAGCATAGCAGCAACATAAGGGTTTTTCTGACTAAAAGTAAAAGTTATGACTTATGAGACACCTTCTACATGGATTAGAGCCTTTAAAGGATTAATATTTGCGAGTCATTTGCTCATAGATGAAGATCCTGTATCATCACTTGATCGATCAATGCTTATTGCAATCATCTAAGAACTTGTAGTATATAATAAAGAAGCTTAAATAATAAATACTCAAAATGGTGACAGTAGTATTGTTTCCTCCACAAAACCCACCAAACCACATTCACTGGTTCGATGCAAGTCTACGAGATATGAAAAAGGCCCCAAAATGTAATCAGAACTAGGATAAAACATAAATCAAACTCAAAATTACTCAACTGACAAGAAGCAAATACTCAAAGTAATTACTCCTCCGATCTTCTACTGCCTCATTTTCGAAGCACACTCTTCCTCCTCTTCGGTTTCAAACCACCACTGGACTCTTCTTTCTTAATCTTTGTCTTTTCCGGCTTCAACCCATCCTTGCTCTTCGCTTTCAGGTTCACCTTGGCCGCTTTTTTGATCGGTTTCACACTCTCTGCAACCTCACTTGTCGCATGACTCTTCGCATTCAGCTTCCCCTTGGCCGCTTTTTTGATCGGTTTGGCACTCTCTGTAACGATACTCTTCTCTTTCAGCTTCCCTTTTGCCGCTTTCTTCGCCGGTTTCTCACTCTCTGCAACCTCA